CTAAAAGCTCAAGTTCTCTTTTTTTTTTTTAAGATTATGTTTAAAGGGTGATGTAGACCATGCTGCTGTAGTGTTTAAGAAGTCCCTGATGGTTTTCACAGCGTAACAATGTTGTGTTTTTAAACAAACTGCCACAGCTTTGTTTACAGTTATTATAACGGAGTTTATCATTTTAGATTTGACATTTTACTCCATTCCAAATGAGAGTCTGGGGGATATTACTCCATCTTCTGAGAGGAAAACTGAAGATGAATAAAAACAAGGAAAGCAAATAAGATTCCTTTAAAATTCTTTCCAAACTCAAAATCACACTTTCTCAAATGTTGCATATGAAGCAAATTAAACCTAAAGTCTTTAGACCTTCAAGTATTCTAAAACATTTAGATTACTTGAACAGTTAAACTGTCATTTTACTCATGCTAGCATGACTAGTTTAGAGACTTCAGTGTATGGTAGACTGAAATATCCCAGCAATTTAATTAAGTTTACATTCGTGGCACCCATAGCATAAATAGCTTTGGTAATCTCCCCCAGTTTTCCTAGTTTTATTCGGTACAATATACTGACAACTACTGGTCCTCTGATTTCACATCAAGCTCAATCATCAAGTCACATTTCCATTTTTTTTTTCCAATGTGTAATATCTGCAACATAACCAAAAGCATTTACATCAGCTCAATTCATCCATCCGCCCATTGTCTTAGCTGCTTATCAAGTTCAGGGTTGCAAGACGCAATAATTAGCACATAAAACCATACAAGGCTACCATACTGAACTAACAGGAACACAGTAAACGTCAGCATGTTAGCTAAAGTTATGAGGATGTTAGCATGCTGATGTTGGCATTTAGGACAGTCTTAGTTTTCCATTTACAACGGTCTTAGTTCAGACACACCTCTTTGTCCCTGTTTACACGTGAAGATATAACCTGCAGCTACTTTTGTGAAGTTGTGAGGGTGTTGGCTGTATTATTCGTACAGTGCTGCTGATGAATACACTGAAAATAAAATTCAGTCTAAAGACGTGAATCATTGTTTGCATACCGCCTGTGTTATCTGACACCTTCTTTATCGGCTAAGATGTGTTTACAATTGGCCTGTGAACAAATATGAGACAGGATTTACTCTTCAGCGGTGCCCATACTTGCAATAGAACCACACTTAATAACAACTTTCTGTTCACAATATGAGACTAAACAGGGGCCAAAGAGTGACTGACTCTAAACTGACTGACTCATTATAATTGTTGGGCGTGTGAGGTTGGTGACCTGAAGTTGTTCCCAGGAAACAATGTGAAGTGAAGTCCCGTTTCACCATGTAATCACGGACCAAGCTGCCTCTGCAGAATGACAGATACGTTCATAGAAGACTTTCTTTTCCAAAGTCATGAATGGCCATTTGTTTAAAAATAATAGGGCTTGCTGTTCAACCACATTTGAACTTTAGCCATGTCTTCAAAGCACAAACCAAAAGCTATTGGTGTAGCCCTGTGGATTGGGGGGGGGCTCAAAAATGTGTCAGAATACAGTGAATGATCTATGTGGGCAACAGACACTAGTTTGAAGAACTTGTCTGAAATTATTTACCCTACAGATAAGAGGCTTCTTGTTGGGGCATGTATAAATAGTTTCCTTTATCTCACCATAAGCCCCATTATTTGCATAAAACAGTTTTTTGTCAGCTTTCAAAGTTTGATGTCTTCTGCCTCCAACAAGTCCAGCAAGAAAAAAAAAAGACATCAGTGTCGCTCTGCTGACCGAACATAAAAAGAGACCATTACAAAGGTTGAACTGTTTTACCCCGCTTCACCCTCCCAGCCTTTCTTTTGGCAGAAACAATGTTGCAGCATTACTTGTTATCCTTCCCCCCTGATGATTTTCTGTAGCATTTTTTACTCCGCTTGTTTGAACAGATGCTGCCCCCTCCTGTAGCCCCCATCCTCTGGGATTGCCATGAGGCTCAGCACAATGAGGTAACACTCAATTTCATTAATGGTGAGAGTCCGGTCCAGTAAGTTCCTTCCACTAACAAACATCAAACAATGTATATCTCTTCCTAAGAAAAACCTGTGCTCTTTTGTCCTGTTTTATTTATGAATGGATTATGAAAAAGGCCGCTGCATGACCTTGCTCACCTTACAGGCTGTCCATTACTGCATAGACAGCCTTTTATAGCAGGGTGAATCCTAACCTGTTGGCCACCGACCAAACATCAAATAACATCTAATCAATAACAAACAGATTACTCAAGAGATTGGATCTCTTTCACAGGGGTCATTCAGATTTCACATTTATTGCAGAGAAGAGCTGCAACCACTGGGATAAATTTGTGAATGGGTGATTGAGCTGGGGAAGCAGAGTCAGATTTAGCCAGGTTTTTCTTTTTAATGTGTAAACTGGTGTCTGCACTGGTATCTCCTTTACAGCTGGTGTTGCCTGTAAATAAGGGTGATGGTGGCTCACACTGGCCAGTCCTGTTTCAGCCTCATGCTGTTTTCATACTAAAGAAATGTCATCTCTGACCTTTTCTGATTAAAAACATCATCACATTTCATACAGACTCTGCTAGCACAAGGTCCATTTTGAGAAGAACGTTGTAAAATACCAAAAGACAAACATTAGAAAAACTACAGAAAACTTCAGGAAAACGTTGAGAAGAATCTTATTTTCACGAATTTCATCTGGTCATAACACATGGCTGAAAGTTTAACATATTTAAAGTGAGATTAGTCAACCCTCCTGGCATTGTTTTGCAACAAGTGCTACCTGTTTATCTCTGTCCCTACTTCCAGGACTAATTCATACATACATACAGAATCAGCATTCACATGAACAGATGTCATGTGAATACATGTACAGCAGTAGAAAAGGGTTTTAAAGTGCTGACCCAAATTATTCAAGTGCAGCTGCAAAGTTCATGGCCCTGGAAAGTGATCAGTGTCCCCACAAATGTCATCATATTTTGAATGTTTAAAAATAGTAATTGGTGCAAAGCCCTGCATACTTAAAAACAACATGACCTTGTGTAAAACCAACTAAAAATGTATTCTGTAAAATACCAGTACATGTAGTGTGCCTTTACTGGAAGGAGCTTACTGAGAAAATAGGCCTTCAGGGCCTTTTGATGAAAAGTTGCTCAATTACCCTGTTTGTGGAACTGCACACACGTAAGCATAAGTATAATGTCATGGTCCCCTTACATTCCTGTTCAGAGAAAAAGGGTGTGACAATAAACTTCACATGTACGAGGCTGATCACAGAGTGTAAACAGTACTACATTAGGTAAATAGCAAGAGAGCATGCCAGGACAGCTTCTCATGATGGGTGGTTATCGAGCTCTAACATCTTAACTGTTAGAACAAGCATGAAGTGGGCCTGCACATTTATAAAATGGGCAATAATCCATTATGCATCAAGAAGGAGGTATGAAGAAATAACTCTTTAATTTTTTACTTCCACACAGCTATTTTTTCAAACATTTTATTACTTTTAATTAGTTAAACTACACAAATAAACTTACAAACAAGGAACTTCAGGGAACACATTTTTAAATCATTAAAAAAAAAAACAACTTGTATAGTCCTGGTGTTGTTATGTTTAATGAAACATGTCTACAAACAAAAAATACCAAACAAAACTGATGTGTTTCCTCAGGAAGTTAAAACTGACAATGGCTTGCATGCCAGTCATTTTAATTGTTCGTTTTCAAGTCTCTATATATAGATATATAACTTACAAGAAGAACCTCAGACAAAAAACAATATGAATCCAGGAAGCTCCTACTCAAATAATTTCCCAACTACACAAATACACTGATCTATTTAGATGCCCCAGTGTGTGTGAAATCAAGGCTTTACAGCTCTTGCACATCCGCATGTAACTAAACCAAACATTATTCATTGTTTTGTTTTAAAAACAGCTGTACTTTCCTGTACGTGCTCTATAAAGGTCATTCATACGTGCTTTTAGTGTAGTTAATAAAGTAAAAACATAAATTTTTCAACACGATCTTTTTTTGCTTGTATAAAAGACCTAAAATATTACACTTTTGCCGGTATTTAATCGTACTTTGCCTCACGATAACTGTGCAATACAAGCAATAAATCTTCCACATTCTTCTTGTTCTCCACAGCATCATGCGTGGGCTCAGCCGTGTCCTCACAAGCCGCTGAGAATCCACTTTCCTCCCGGCGGAGAGCGTCACATCGTCCGGTTCCCCCTTTATAGAAGCCCCGCCCAGAAATCAGTCGATGAATTCAACATCGTACTCACCAGCGTCTGACCAATCAGCGCCTCGAGGGGGTGGTCTCGAGACGGTGGTCCGGGAGGACGATAACCAATGAAAACGTGTACTGGTCGGACAAAGGGCTCGCGTCAACAATCGTTGGTTGCTTGAATGGGACATTATTCATGTCCACGCGGTTCGTATTTAAGGAGGTAAGATGAGGCGAGCTAGCGGTTTCCGTATAAAAAGTAACGGGTCCTAGCTGTCTGCACAGTTGATGTGATGTGCCACGAAGCGAGCTGAAGGTGTTTCCTTCCCAACGTCACTTTTCCCAAAAACGGTTACCGCCAGTATGTGCGGTGCAGCTCGGTCCCAGTAAGCTTGTTAAAAAGTCACCGGGTGTCACACTACCGGCGGCGTGTGGATGTGCACGCTGCTGCCAAATCATTCATAACCCTGGTAGCACTGGGTGTACTACTGCCAGCTCGTGTTTCACTGTGACTTAAAATATAATCACAGTTGTTAAGCATTAACTCAAAGACAAGCTGTCTGGGGTCATCTGGCTACAACAAAAGCAAACAAAGTGTGCGCAAAGACGCACAAAAAAATCGATATATAGAGAAATATAAAAACATAAAAAAGAAAGACAAAATAGACTGTTTTTGGTGTGTACGTGTTTTGCTGTGTTTTTATGTGACTTCGGTCTTGTAAGAAAAACATCATCACCGCCGTTTCTTTCTCTTTGCACACGCCCACCGCCCCTGCAGCCTACCCAAACGACGCTGTTCGCCTGTCGCCTGACCGGGTACATTAATACGTAGAGCAAGGGGAGGAGGAGGTCAGCTCCTTTTCTGTGTCCCGGTGTACCGAGAGCTGCCGTTTCATTTCATCACCGCCTCCGAGCAGCTCCGTTTTCTCTCTTTCTAGGTACCAGATTTTAGTAGTATCTGGTATTTTAATGAAGAAGTGCCAACATTTTTGATACATATTTCCACCTCGCCTCTGCCTGACTGGAGCTCACGCCGGAGCCGTTAAGAGAGAAGTTTAAACCCTAGCTGCTGCTCAGGAGACTGGGGTTACACCGTCCCACACCTCCCCTTCGCCGTCTCTAGTTGAAGATTTTTGGAGAATACCGTCCAAAAGTTTTCGTTTCTTTTTTTTTCCTGTGTGCCAAGAGGACAGCAAAAGACGCCCGGCAGCATGACTCGGAGATCCTGTGCCATTTACGCCACCGGCTTCATCTGCGCTCATCTCCTGATAGTGGGAATCGCCCTGGTCGTGGCTCAAGTCTTCCAAACCATGATCCACAGCCGCTTAAAAAAGGTGAGTTGAATCTCTTAAAAAAGAAGATTTCTTTACGTTTTCGGTTCATTTGCCACTCTTCACATATGTCACACACGAGGGGTTCAAATGTTAGCGTTTCGTCTGCAGTAGCCAATCATGCACCTACAGCATCTCACCTGTGATGGCACATGCAGGGTCACACGACCGAGTAAATTGTATAGATTCAACTGTTCACGTTATTATGGGCTGTTTTTTTGCTGCATTCTGTCCCTCCAGCGATGCGGGATGAACACAGAGCCTGCCCACCTTCACGAATCCGCAGGATCCGAGGCTTATACTTTGTTTAAGTCTCCTTATAATGCTCTGTGATTTCGAGGGTTTTGTTTTTTACAAGCTTCAATTAAGACAGGCCATTTAACGTGTTTCGGTTTGTTTTAACGTTTTCCACAAAGACCGCTGTAGGTAGAAATCCCCTGTAACTCTCACAGTGAGGGGGAATATGATGAGGTGAGCTTGTCATGACCTTATCTCATTTCATAATGATTCCTCTTATTTGTTGGCTACCTTGAACAGTTTTTTTTTCTTTTTTTTTTTTTTTTTTTTTTTTGCATCAGTTTGCTTATATTAGATGCGGCTGATTTTTGGGTGAAATGAGAGAAATATATAATCTATCATCAGTATATCATTTCATAACCTTTCCAGTACCAGTCAATGACCTGATGGCACATTTCTATTCATACAGGCACCATGCACTGTCTTTTTCAGGTGTTAGGTTTCTGAGAGGGATCATCAGTGGTAGTAGTAGTAGTAGTAGTAGTAGTAGAAATCTAGTTTTGGGGGGTGGTCTGCAGGTCTGGAGGGATATGGGGGGAAGGGAGTCGAGTGAGCGGGCAGGAGAGACAGAGTGGTGGATCTATATCTCTTTGCATATTGTAGAACTTGTCATTCTTTCTGAAAATCAAGCATCCAACTTGTATAAATCAGGCAAATCTGCATCTATTTGATTGATAAATCCTCACATCTTGCCAAAGATAATTGGCTCTTTGGTGAAGTAGGTCCTTAAAATACAGCTGCACGCAGTCCAATCCTGTACATTTCTTAAATTGCAGCACTGCTTTATTTTGTGTCTTTGCTGTGAGCAAAATTTTTCTTGTGCAATTTTATCTGGGTAAAAATTACTCAACATAAATGCTTAATTTTAGTGGGTTTCAGTTTTGTGTAGTGATTTTACAAAATAACGTTCACTTGAGAAATAACTCAGGCTAAACATTTGTGTTTTACTGTATTTGGATTCAAATTTAGACAGAAACAGCTTTTGCTTCAAAAACCTGCTTTCACCATTGCACTTTTGCAGTTAAGTGTCTGCATGTTTGCGGACTGGTGGGGCATTAGGGGTGGGTCAGCCTGAACCATGAATGTCTGCTTTTTATTGTAGTTTAGGACATGAATGGGGTGATGGAGCAGGGGTGCTGCCAGTTGACACCCTCTCTCAGATAAACCTGCTGCTCTCTGCCCTTTAAAATGCCTCACATTCCTCTTACTGACACAAATTGTGTTGAATGCCATCTGCAAATCCTCATCAGTACTTTAAAACCTTTCTGCCTTTTCTTTCCTGCTTCAAAAAAAATTGCATCTTCATGTTAAGGAGGAAAAGGCTAAAATCAGCTCAGCAGAAAGGTTTAACATTCTATTTGTTTCAAGTTGGTGGCTCAATAACAGCTGCCTCACTGACATGGTTTCCCCTTCCTGGGGTTAAATTTAGGTCGGGGTCGCATTTTTTTTCTCTCATTCGCAGTCACGGCACCATCCCAGGGGACCCAAATTAAGAGAGTTAGTCAAAGTTCATCAACAGGGGACCTAATTCTGATGTGGCTGGCGATTACATGAAATGACAGCATAGCTAATCCTCTTTCACCACAGTCTTCCCGTTGAGTTAGGCTGTCTTGTACGCGTTGAACCAACTCCAAACAAATCTATCTAATCTGACTTTAAATTCGTCTCTTTGTAATAAGAAGCAGCCGATGTGTTTGGGGCAAGTCTGCGTTACCTCCAGGCACAAACTCTTGAGTTAAGCCGGATGTGGAGGAAGAGTCATAAAAGCCATGTGAGGAATTTGACAGACGTCTTGCCCCCAGGGGTATGATTTTTGTTTAGGAGCAACCTCTCCTAATTCCTTGCTGTTGTTCCGGGCTTGGCCTAGCCCAAGTCGTTGAGCTCAGATGACGAAACTGAAAAGAAGAGAACACCCACTCACGCCACTCCTCAGCTGTGTTTTCACTGTAGCATAAAAGCCTCCAAGACCAAGGTCGTGTTGGTAAAACTCAAAATGTGGCACAGTTTAAATGTTAAAGCTTCAACATTGTGGAAGCACAAAGAGAAATTTACAAAAGCTTTTATTTTCACAATGCCTACAATGTTTGTTTTTCTTCTTTTGCTGATCAAAGCAGGAGCTTGTGACGCCACACCTTAGTTGTACCTGAAGTTGCTTGGCAAAGGTCCAGTTCATTTCAATTTTTCCACTAGCAAATTCCACCGCAGTGTGTCTGTGTGCACTGAAAAACCTCCCTGCTTTGTCCCTTGGCTATCTTTTTTTAAAATTTTTTTTATTTCAAGGTTTTTCTGGAGATAAATTATGTTAATACAACTTTCATGAAGGACTTTCCAAAGACCTTTGTTCAAGGTTTGGCAAACACAGGGAGCCATGCGGGCTGTCACACAGAAAAAGCCCGACGTTGACTCAAACCTGTTTCGAAAGTGAGACGCTTTCTTTTAAAAGGGAACAAATTGGGTCATTTTTGCTTGTTGTTTAGCGCGTGGACACATCTTATGATGGTAGCACTCTTTCTCACTTCATGCAGTGTTATTCGAGCTCTTAATTAAGAAACAGGATCTTCAAAACTCAAGAGAGTCTCACTTCTTAAGTACCTCAAGTTCTGTTCTTCCACATACTGGATAGTCATCTGCCTGGGATGTCAGGCTGAAAGTAATTATTCACAATTTCGGTCTCTGAATAATTTACATTGCACTATTTTTCACAGAATAAATACTAATCGGCAAAGAAACTAATTGCTGATTGTAGTCAGGTATGAACAGAAGACAAAAAGGGTAAAATCTTTAATCTCATCAACACTAAATCAGCTAAATTTGTCTTTTTCACTCAGTTGTAGTTTGCTTTAATCTTATGTTCCCCTCTTTAATCAGTTGTCTAACTTGATCAAAGTAGATATTTTAGCTGACCCCTGTGATAATCTGATATGTGGTTTTTTTAAGCAGGAAAAGAGGAACTGATGTAACAAAGCTCGGAAAACAATAGCTTTAAGTAAAACAAGATGTTAACCCAAACAGGAAGTGCAGCCACACCTTAAGCTATAGTTTCACAACAGTAAGTGCCCGTGAGAAGCCATAGAGGACTATGTATAGGATCTCTAAAGAGCACCGCTCAGCCGACAAATCATTTGAGGAATGAAAGACACAGACGGAAGAGGGTCGTTTCTCCACACTAAGTTTAGAAAACTGGCAGGAATGGGAGGGGAAAAAAAGTGTTTTCTTGTTTTTTCTGGTCAACGAACGGTCAACATACTTGAAGGTCTTTAATTTTCTTTTTACAGCTGGCAGTTCAAGTTAATTGTTACCGTTCCTCATGTTCAGCCATGTGGTGTCCAGGTTAATCTTACAGACGGTTTATGTACTAGAGCCCTTCATTTTTGTTTAGGTTTTTTCCCATAGGAGTTTAGCCAAAGAATCTGGGAAATGTCTGAAGCTGTTTTCAGCATTTTTGTGGTCATTTTGTTTTTCTGTATTTTGGCTACAAATCTTACCTGACATCCTGCATCCAGTATGATGGCTAACGCCACTAAGTGCAATGTTTTCTCATTCCAATATGCGAGTACCGTGGGCGGACTGAAAACCCACTGTCAGATTCTTGCCTAGGCTTGCTGAAGTTGGAAGACTGTGCTCAGTTTTTGCTAAGACTGGCTGGCTGTGCTGATGGTTTTTCAGCTGTGAAGGACTTTCCTCTGCTTCCCTCTGGGTTTTGAGGTGTTGGCCCGTCACCAGCTCCTTGCTGAAAGGTGCCGTGTGTTCTTTCAGATGGCCCTCTTTGAGACTAGAAAAAGAAAGCACTCCTAATATCAAATGCAGCGCAGCAACATTCTCATCACTTCATGCTTTGGGAGATATTATTCCTGTTTTTTGAATGTTTTTTTTCTTTTCTTTTGTTGATAGGAAATTACTTTAACAGAGAAGAGCCAAGTGTTTGAGTCATGGAAGAATCCACCTCCACCTGTTTATATGGAGTATTACTTCTTCAACGTCACTAATCCAGAGGTGTTCATGGCAGGTGGGAAGGCATCTGTTAAACAGATCGGACCTTATACTTACAGGTTAGTTTGTGAAGAAATTTAAATGCGTCTGTAATATGTAATGTTGGAAAAGTGAAATATTTTAGCCATGTTTGCAAAAGCCCTGTTTAAGGAAACTCATCTGAAGTTATTTTGATGTGTGAAATCAAAACAAAAGAAACTTGGAATAACTGACAAATGTCCTGTCCACACCAGGGAGTACAGGCCACGGGAAAATGTAACCTTCCTGGAAAATGGCACCAAGGTTTACGCCTTGAACCCAAAGACTTTTGTCTTTGTGCCTGAGAAGTCCGTCGGAGACCCACAGGTTGACATCGTCAGGACCGTCAACATCCCGTTTGTGGTGAGCGAATGGATTTCTATGACTAGAAGCAGAAAGGTCATATAGATTTTGGATGACATCCAAACGCATGTTCCCAAAATTTTCATTGTAGCATTTTCATTTTTTTGAACGGATAAACAGAAGGCAGCAGGCCAAGGAAGATGCAACTAATGACTCAGTGATCTTTTCCACTGTGTGTGATGGGAGCACTCTCACCTTTTGCCTCCAGCCTTCTGATGGTAGCATTGTTCTCTTTGTCCGTCTTCCTTAGGCAATAATGAACGAGCTGAACTCCTACTCCTTCTTCTTGCGAACTATTGTTTCCATGTACATAAACAGCCTGGGTATTGAACTGTTCATGACCCGCACTGTGCACGAGGTTCTGTGGGGCTTTAAAGACCCTCTTCTCACAAAAGTCCACTCCATGAAGCCTGAAGTAGATGAATATTTTGGGCTAATGTGGAAGGTAAGCTCAGCTGCCATTTAAGTTTTACTCACTTTGTTGTTTCCAGAGATTTTTTTTGTTTCTCTTGTTCTTAGGGGTTAGTCACACAAGAGGAAGTCTGTGGTAATGTCATGTAAGAAAATTCTGAATGCTCACATGCTGATGGATGACATTTTTATTTCCTGTTTATAGAGTATTGTTCGCATCTTAGCGACGCCACAACCACGTGATCCTGAGTGTAGCATTTAGAGTGACTTAAAGACAATTACTAATTTGTTAGTCTGTTTGTTTGTTTTTTTTGGTAACAGAAAATTTATGTATTTGGCCTTTTTGTGTTTGAACTGATTTCTGATCAGTTTGTTGTTCAAAATATTGATTTAAACTGAAGTTTAATCTTCACTTGGTTACTTGTGGTTGCGCTGACAAATACAAAAGCTGAATCACATTTTTTTGCTGATGTTCTTATAGCAGCAGAATATCTGTTTACCATCCCGCACAGTTTTCTATCACAGCAGCTGACAGCAGTTTTATTGTCTGTTCAACAGAAAAACGGCACCCATGAAGGAGAGTTTGTGTTCCACACCGGTGAGCAGAATTACTTGGATTATGGGAAGATCGACACGTGGAACGGCCTGAGGTAAAAACTCATACAGGCCACTTTCAATTGTCTTTATATAAACTCTTTTATTTTCATTGTTTCTTGAATGGTAGGAAACACTTTCTAGCCGGCAAATGGCTTCCTCTTCCTTCCACGCACCTTAATAGTATTTACTACGTTATGCAATGTTCATCCGAAAGTCCAGAGGGGAAAGTCTTTGCTCCCTGGCTTTAGGGGGAGAGGGGTTGCAAAATGGATATTTGGATATGTACATCAACCTTGCACTTTGAATGTGTGTTTAGAGTACTGTGTGTGCTGAAAAAAGTACTCACTTTGATGAAGCAATACAGAAATACTCGGTTTCTGACACAAAAACGGTCAAACTATACTGAAATTCCTTGTTCGTACAAAATGGCTGCTGTTGTAGTGACTCTGTAGCACAGTGGCGGTATGGGTGTAATCGCAGTCAGCAGTTTGATTTTTCAGCTTGAGAGACCTTGATAATTCCCTGCTTTCTATTCACTTGTCGTATAATACCGGAAATGTGAGTAAGGCCAAATGCCAAAAACATAATGTCTCTCAGCTGTGAGAGATGTGAAATATTTATGGGTTTCCCCTGTTTATTTCAGCTTTCAGGAAGATTGTATTGTTGTAGAAGGTGAAGGCTGAGAACGAGTTGCAAAATAATTCTGAGGGAGAATTGGGGGGTGGGGTGGGGGTGGGGGGTTAAATGAGTATAATTTCTTTTAATATTTGCTTTTTTGTGGAATTGCAAACTAGAGCAGTACTAATACTTGTTTGTTTGTTTTTTTGTACAAATTAATATCTGGTTCTTCTTGATCAACAGGGAAATGTCGTGGTGGTCATCCAATCAGAGCAACATGATCAACGGCACCGATGGCGCAGTTTTCCACCCGCTGATAAACAGGAACGAGTTGCTCTACATCTTCGCTGCTGATCTCTGCAGGTGTGCATCCTTATGTGGCTTTAAATTTGTTTACAGGCAAAGCACCCGGTGGGGTGAGGACAAGAACTTCAACCGAGGTTAATGAAAGGAAATGCCAACTGAGTTGCACAGTGTGTGCTTACAAACACACTGATAAGGGCAACTTCTGAGAAGGCATCCAGTAGAAACTCAGTTGGAAAGAGTTAGGCCCAGACATGCCAAGATTGAACAGGAAATGAGCGTTGTCATTCTTTATTCTGTTTAGAAGATTTATAAATCTAAAGAGAACTATTTCCTTCTTGAATGGCACTTGAGGTCTTTATTAAACCCATCCTGAAGTCCTTAAGTGATGAGTGCTTTCTTTCTCTCCTCAGGTCTATTCATTTAGCCTATGTGGAAGACGTGGAGGTGAAAGGGATTCAAGCGTACCGCTTTGCACCCCCTAATGACGTCCTCATGAGCCCCAAAAACAACCCCGCCAACGCGGGCTTCTGTGTGCCAGCTGGTGACTGTCTCGGCACCGGAGTGCTTAAAGTCAGCGTTTGTCGAGAAGGTAGGAGCACCGAGCCATCCCACCGTCAGCCTCTCCCTTGCCCCAATTACCCAATTCCCCCACACACTGGCCCCATGACACATTTTTGTTTTTCTCCTCATTTCCCCCACCCCTCAAAAAAAAGGTCCTTCCACTCAGCAACCCTGTGCCCTGGCTGCTATCTGACATTCCCACTGTTTGAGCAGGCCAGATTTTACTCAGTGGTTCAATAATTAACTGTGCCGACTGAGATTGCAGTCGGCACAGTTAAAATATTGAACTATTTTATGGTGGTTATTAAGGGAAGTACAGTTGTTCTGATAACATGATCTTAACTGGGCTTTAAGGAAAGATGCTATACCGTAACCTCTAAACTTTCCTGTTTGTTCATTTGATTAATTACTTTTATAGTTTTATTACATTTGAGTGAAAAAATCCACACTGTAAGAGTCTTAAATAGGAAATGTTTTATGGTTTTATATTAGGCTGCTGCTGATTAAACTCAGCCGTAATCGAACACAATTGGCTGTTGGCATCACTTCCTGCAATTCAAATGTAAAGGAAACTCTGTTGTGGTGTGACATTTCAGCAAATCAACATCAAGGCCTGCTGTGATATGCAAAGTGGTGTCATCCTGAAACTGTCTGAGTGCTGTAACCACAAGAAAAAAACATTATTCACTGTAGCAGTGATGTGACAGTTACAACCTGCACCCACCTTTTTTCTTTTTTCTTTTTTTCTTTTTTTTTTAGAAACAGCAGCTTTCAAAGGTTGAATTAATATAATTAAAGGAAATTTGTTTAGGCTACAATCAAATGAGATTAAATTCTCAAATCAAATCTTTAGCACAGACTGTCCATGCTGCAAGTGTTCAAGATTTGTGCATGCAGACTTCACCGACCCATCTCCATAATTGGAGACTCGGCTTTCCAACGTGACTTTTCTTCCAGCATTTCTTGTACCGACACTTTGTCTGCCAGAGGGTCCAGACAAAGACGAAAAGATGAGGATGTTGCATTTCAAACCACATCTAAATGTTTTTTTTTGATCTGATGTGGAGAAATATTTAGTGCTCAACACTTTCTAAAATCTAAATATGTTTTAAAGAAAAAAGGGGAAAAAAAATCAAAGTTTCGTTTTGATTGACTAAATGAAAACTACTATTTATACTTTACTCCTATGACAGAGCATCTTCGTGTTTCTGTTTTGCTAATGAGTCATTTTAAGGAGTAACGTCTTCTTTGCTAAACGACTGATCACATTAGTTTTCTTGTTTTTAAAGAAAAGCAGCGTTCTCAGCTAATCATTACCAACGCTCAAAACCTAAAACACACATTCATTAGCTATCATTTCTATTATATCGTTTAGTCACGAGTGCATGTTTCCGTCACACAAAGCACTGGCTGTTATCTTAAGTTACTACTTTTATCGTTTTTTCCTTGACCCTTGCTGTTTTAATCTTTAGATAGAAATATGACTCTGATTTGTTTCCCTCAAGGCGCTCCCATCGTGGTGTCCTTCCCACACTTTTATCAGGCTGACCCCGCTTACATCAACGCCATTGATGGCCTTAACCCCAACAAGGAGGAGCACGAGACGTATCTTGATCTGCAGCCGGTATGTTGAACACTCAGTGCTGTTATCATGACTAATGGGTGTGTAATGGACTTCGATCTGTCCTTCCAAATTAGAGTGGTTGCTTTATAAATGTTTTTTTTTTTTTTTTTTGAGGGGGGGGTTAATCCCTCTATTTGTTTTTGTTCGGACTTCATTTTATTTTGTGTCCGGCTCATTGTAAGTATTTTTACTGATCAGTGCTCAACACGCATGCAACATTATTTTTTTGTTTTTCACTCCTATGAAAAAAAATATAAATAATAATGTTCAGCTATATTATTATTATTATTATTATTATTATTATTATTATTATTATAGTCTGAATTGTTATTGCTATTGTACTGATCATCCCTACCACATAAACAGGGCATCACTTTAACATTGAGTGAGTTAAATTAAGTCTTTTACTTGAGTGTTTGCACAAGTCACTTTTCAAATTGCACGTGATGTTAAAATAACAGATTTAGCTTTTTTTTTTTTTTTTGTGATCTACTTTTGCATCAGAATGGTCCCACCACCCTCCTTGTTTCTGCTGAGAAATGCTCAGAGCACATACTTGCGGTAGCATTGTGACTTGGTGGCTAAGAGTTTCACTTCCTGGTTAAATAAAGATTCAAATAATACACAAAGATGGAAAGACGACAGCGATCGCATTCTTCTGACGATGGGGGGAGAAGAATATCTATGTGATATCATGCGTACAGTAATCCAAACAAGGAAAAGAAAGTTTTCAAACAATAGCTAAAGTATCTCATAGTTTGGGAATTATAAACACATATTTCTCTGATACTGTCTAACTTGGCCTCTAAATTCTGTTGTTTAGTTTTTCGGGGGTTTTCATGCTTGTTGCTGCAGTTTTTCTTAAAAGAAAAAGAGAAAATTAAACTTCTTCCCCAATTTTTGTCTTTGCTCTCCTCTTCGTAGACGGCAGGAGTTCCCATTCGTGCCTGTAAGAGAGCTCAGCTCAACATCATTCTGAAGAGAGTCCAAGGCTTTCCGTAAGTCAGGCTTTGTTGAACTCTGATCCACTGTTTACTGTTGCCACATGCACTGTGACACCATTTCAGCCACATGTTGAAGCCACATGTTGAGCCAGATGTCTCCCCCTGACCTCGCCGTGCTTGTCTTTCTGCCCCGCAGCAAAACGAAGAACATCACCGAGACCATTTTCCCCATCATGTTCGTCAATGAGGTGAGGATCTAATCTTTTAGCACAGCTTAACATGTTTGACTAACCGTGAGTGAACTGCTTAGTCAGTACTGTCATCTTTCACAACTCTAGACGGCGACTATTGACGATGAGTCAGCAGCCCAGATGAGGTCACTGCTCCTCATCGTGACTCTTGTGTCCAACTTCCCCGTCCTCATCGTGGGCTTGGGCATCATCCTGCTGCTCGTGTTTCTCGTCTTGTTCTGCCGAAACCGCCAGAAGAAGGTAGGGACTGCCACATTCTGCCGTGAACTAATCTGCAGTAATGATAGTTACTCTGTTTTGAGGTGTGTTTGCTGCCCACTGACATTATCTCACAGTATAACTAAGTCTGGTAGTTAGACGTTAGTCATAAGTTGCAGTAAACACTAGTCTTAAAAGTTTTGATCATTCAGTTCTTGCATGGACAACTTCCTCTACCATTGACCCTGAGGAGCTGCAAGTTTAACCCACAGCTGCGTGCATGTTAACTAACACATTGCATGATATCTGTGCAGCAAAGTCAGCATGAGCAGTTTTCCACAATACGAATGATCACGTGATGCGGGTTGGGATTTTTTTTTTTTTTTCCCTTGTTGAACGTTCCCTAACAGCTGATGCATGTTTGAATTCAGGAAGCAAAAGTTGTCCAACATTTCCTTTCAGTCAGACCAGACATGAATGTAGCGTAGTAGCTCCAGTTCATTGAACGATAGTAGCCTAGAGATGATGTACAACACATGTTCCCCCTGTTATCTCTAACAGTGCAGGACTGCTAGTTTGAAGCCCCAGCTCTCAGATTATTACAGTTTGCTATTCTGTGTGCAGAAGGAGGCCTGCTACATGTTACAGGAATAGCTTGAAGAACTATTTGCTTCTGTTGCTAATCTCTTAAATGAGATTGATACCACTGTGTGCGTCTCTGCGTGGCCACATATGAAACTTAATCATGAGGACAGCTTGCCTAGCTTAGCAGAAAAAAATAGAAGCAGAAATTTACCTGCAGGCACCTACTTCTCTGGCTTTTGATTACACAATATAAATGATCTGAGAGATTTGGAGATGGAGCCAGGCCAGCTGTGCACCCCTGTGCTAAGCCGAGCACTGTCTCATCTACAAAAGCAAATATTTCCAAGAGCTGTTCCTGAACATGCGCATGTGCATCCAAGTTTATATGTCGGCACAAAGAGGATGTTGATGCTTAATTGCAATGTGAAGAAATGTTGTATTAACCATGTTCTAATTTTAATTTTCTGTAACCCCCCTTTTTTCCTTTTCTGTTTTAGAATGAAGTAAAACGTATTGATTTTGCTGAAGCTTTTCATTCTTTTGCTGTAAGTCTTCAGTTTTGCCTTGTTTTCTGTTCTCCTTTTTAATTTGTTATCCACCATCTCTCATTGTTATCATTTTAATTATCATTATGGGACATTTTCTCACCTCACAGTAGTTGTCATTGTTGTTGTTATTATTATTATTATTATTATTATTATCCCTAATTTAAGTTAATGTTTCTGTGGTGGCTTTGTTTTTGTACTACTGGTGCACATTTGCATTGTAGTGTAAACATTTCAGAGCATTTATTCATATCTTTAATGTTAATGAGCAGACTTTTTGCCACTTCTGTTGTTTGTACTGACGACGTCTATCCTCGATTCTCCACGCGCAGACGGCGAAAGATGACACGGCCTACACTCCGGTCAGCGACAAAACAGACGAATCGTCAGAGACGCCAGCCAGCCAGCCAATGAAGAACGGTTCCTACATTGCCATGTCTCCAGTGGAGGCACAGAAGTGTTGATCGAGGATCCCCTCAGGAAGGGGGCTGAGGAAGCAGAACGAGGGTTTCACGTTATAACGGGCGGGCGGGGGGGTTGCATAAACAGTGGGCTCATTTTCACTTCACTTTGGGGGTTGGGGAAAGCAGTTGGACACAAACCCCAGTAATTGTTTAGTCAACAAAGACATTGCTCCTCTCACTGAGCCTTCTTAAGACTGTCTGTCCTCCTCCACTCTACCTGCTGAGCATGGCCCTCTATGCCTGCTGCAGCACAACCAACAACCCTGCACTCTAATCCTCATTTCTGTCCTGGTTGGCCCTAAAAGATAAAGGGACTGGCCGGGTGGGCTCAGCCAGGACGCGGCTTTCTTTATTTCCTGTAATTCTTCTGAGGGAACATGGTAGCATACATAGGTGTCACTCTAGCACTCTGATGCATGACCTTCTGAGCAAAAATTTAACGGTTAACAGGACACGCAGAGCATTTTGCATACACGCGAACAACAGTGGGGGTGTTGCTACTGTCGCATTCCTTCTCTATCCTGTCAGTCAGTGTTGTCCGAGGAGAAAACTTTAAGCCAACAGATTAGAAAATCCCTGCAGAGTAAAGTCTGAGCTCAGAAGACTTGACGGTTTTCCTAGCCTGGTATTTTCTTTTATACGTGGAACAGACTGAGCCAAACCATTTGCCTTTTTTCCTAAGATAATGGAATAGTACAGAGACATACGAACACACACACACACACAGGACTTCTAGTATCAGTCAGTGAACGTGTGTGTGGACCTTATCTTACACTTCAGTGTCCTGTTTTCATGGACAACGTGCAAATATTTTTTTTCCCCCTAACATAAGCGTGATAAAGTGAAACACCAGAAATGGTTTTTTTGTAATTGCTTCCTCCTTGACTCATTTTTATTTGTCTTTCCCAGAAGAAAAAAACACTGGTTTAAAAATGGAATTATTCAGACGTCAGCTATATCCGAGTCCTCGGTTGAGACCTTCACTCGTTAGCTGTAAAACCGATAGGACAAATGGCACTGAGCATCACTGAACACTTCAAAACAAAAAGGAAGAAAAAATGAACACCCACAGAACTTACGAGGGAGTCTTGAACCAGTTTTCTGCCTTACAATGGTTCAGCGTGTTCTTTATTTTCGTGCATCGTTCAAATAAGCTGGAAAAATCTTGTACATATGTAAAGGGGAACTGATGAAATACCTCTGACCAAATCCAGCAAGCAGTCCTTCTCGGTGTGCTGAAAGACACTAATCTTGCTCTGGTGTTCGCGCTCCTGCACGTCTACACTGTTACATATTAGAGAAAGCACAATTTGGATTGCTAAAACCAGTCCTCACACAAGCCTACCGTTTTGGGGGTTTTTTTGGGAGGGGGAGGGTTGTATTTTTTTCCCCTTTGGTCCTGTTATGTAAATGTATTTACAGCTGATCTGTCAAAGACACTGTCGTGTGCCGTGACCACTCGCTGTTCATTCAGTTTGCCAAGGAGTTATAGACACGGAAGGCAAACTCGGCACGCAGCGCTCGAATCACTGTCTGTCTTACATTTCACGTTTCACGTCAGGCACGCCTTCCAGCCCACAGGCGATGGAAGCCAGTGGGGAAGTGAATTTAAGGCCATAATACTGTCTGCGTGGAAAAGTTCCCTGCACTTTGCCTGGAAATTGTGCCCTGTATATTTTCACTTCTTGTCTTTTTGTTTGTGTTTTTTGTCATGTTTTGTCCTGACAATGCAAAGTGGTCCATATGTTAAGAACATTTCAACAGTTTGTCCTGGCTAGTATTATTTTTGATGGATGTTGTTGTAAATGAACAGCGGACATCCATGCCTCTGTGTTACTTGTGTTCAGCACAAGGAGTGTCTTCTTTTTTTGATATACTTTTGTATTTGTTATTGCTGCTAAAAATGCCATAACCTATGAAAATGTATCTGAATGTGGGGTCCACATGTGCTCACATGAAATTTCGGGTTGAACCACAGGGGCTTTTTTTTTTTTTTTTTTTTTTTTTTTAACCGACCCTCTGACACCTGAGCACAGTTTGCTGCCATTTATTGGAATTAGAGCAGTTACAGTTATGAGTACAGATATTTTGTAACCTCTCTTTCATCTATTGGCAGGTGATATGACCATATCACATGTATCTTTGAGGGTTTTATTAGCAGACAGTTCGCTGGAGGTTCTCAAAAGGGCCGAGCCACTTCATTGTCACCTGGAAGGGGGCCGGAGTCGGAGTTTGGGTTTAATAACACTGTGGTCGAGAGTCCTTTAATGCAAGTTTGGAAAAGACACACATTTGCTTTCTGGTGAACATTTAAATGCCACTCTGTCCTTTCAGACTATGGCCTGCTGCCAGTTAGCATAACTTAGCTTGAAGCTAGGAAACAGAAAAAAGCTTGTCTTGCTTTTCCAGCAGTAACAAAACCAATTCAGCATTTCTAAGACGGTGATCCATTTCGGTCATTATTTAGATAACACAGACTGAATATCTACTCTTAAGAGCACTTAAGCCCTCAGTTGGTCCTTTCTGCGCTGTCCAATGAAGAAAAGCCACATTAGTTATAATCCATGCTTGTTGCTATTTAGTTGTGTAATCTTTCTTGGTCATGCTTTCTGAGTAGCTGTAGCCTTCTAAGTCTCCAGAAAAGTTGTCCAAGGTAACCACTTACAATGCTGATGGGCTGATTTAGTATATAAAACACCTGTATCCAGCTTTAATTTGTGGTATCCAAGATTTACCTTGCAAAAGTAATTTAAAAAATTAAAATAATTCGGCAAATGTCAGGATCCTTCGCATGCCAGCTTTTTCCCTTTATTTTCAGTTTCGGCACCGAGTCAGACTAACCATCTTTCTCGCTATAGACTCAATGGACAGATAGTGGTATCAGTTCACAAAAGCAAATATTTCCAACAGTGTTGAAGTCTCATTCTGAAGTGAAATCAATTCACTCAAGGCCTTTAAGAAGGAAAAAAAAGTCCACACGCATGCGACCTCCACCCTGTGCAAACTCGCGGTTCATCGTTGTTCAGCTTTTTAAAAATGTATCGACTTGAACCTGAAAGACCTTAATCCAGAGGATCGCGTTTGTGTGTTTGACCCATCACTCTCATTCCACTGTACTATACTGACCTTTGAGTCCGGTCCTTTAAGCCCATTGGCTCATTCCAACTTGACCAAAGATAACCCCTATAGATCTGCCCCGGCACTGTGTTTACTCTCCGCGATAATGTTACAAAACCTACTTTTTTTTTTTTTCCTCCCCTCCTTCCTTAAACATGTGCTTTTGTGAAAGTATCTGAGCATTGTTGCAGGAGCTTGAATGAGTGTATGTGCCTTTTACATCAAGGCAAGAGTAAAGAGAGGGGGGAAAAAAGGAAATTTTTCATGTTTAATGGTATTAGTTTTATTTTCACCCAGTGCGATACAAACAAAAGTGATCAATGCTCTTTGTGGGCAGAGAAAAAAAAAAATCTCAGTATTATAAGACAAAGCAATACAAAGCTGTGTAAAATAAACTGGATGTTTGCAAGTGGCCACAGAATATTTCAATATTTATGTTGTTTTCCTTTTCTTTTTTTTTATTAGTATTGTAATATAGTAATTCATTTTGTATTTAGCCTTTTTTTTTTCTTTTTTTTCTTTTTTTTTTTTCCCTTCCCCACACTGAAAAACACTTGGGTATAAAAGATGGCCCAGTATGCCATACTGGGAACAAAGAGTCTGTAACGATGTTGGGCGTGGTTTAAGTTTTGGGTGTTTGTGTTTGATGAGTATGAGAACTTGTGCTTGTGGAATAATGAATTATTTCTGTCAAATGAGTGATTTTTACTGGAAGGCTGATTATCTTGACCTAGTAAAGCGGCGATATTGTGTAACATATCTAGATGAATGAAGCCCTCCTTCAGGGATGAGCACTAGTGCCATACCATCCTTTTTGTTGTTACAGGTTTTTGTTTTTTTCCCCATTTCAATATCCTGAAGTCACTAACAGACACTTCCTTTATAGATATACTAATTTGTTTTGCTGCTGAAAATGACAATCTCCCTTGTCATGTTAGGTGCAAAATGATTTCAAAGTAATATTCATTTTTAGTTTTTGATAATTTACACTGCACAGATGTTTCTACAGTGCTTTTGTAAACATTTCTAGTGTATTTCCAAAAAAAATAAAAGTGTAAAGTTTACACTGTCTTATGTCTTTTGTTTAAACGTCTAAGATGAAGCAGTATAGCTATGAGGCTCATCTTTGTGTTGATGCAGTTTGGATTTGGCTCAAATATTCAGATTTTAAATTAAGCCTAAATATTGAATTTCTCAAATTTATTGATCAGAATTTAAGACTGAGAACAAAACCTGAATATTGGTTAATTTAATAGTGACAAAAACTCTTTGCTGCTTCTCAGATGCCACTTGTGCTTATTAGCAAAAACATAGTTGTGAACTACTACTGCAAGCCAGGATGGATCTGTGTTTTTGATTTTAGCGGCAAATTTGAGGCCTCCTGTCTGACAGCTAAAGCCTGGCTGAAACTAGGTTAGGCAACAGGACAATGATCCCATGCACATCAGCAAATCTATAACAGGATGGCTTAAAAAGAAAATCAAAGTGTTGCAACGGTCCAGTCAAAGTCCGGACTTCAACCTGATTGAAATGCTGGATTTTTAGCAGAGCTGTGCATAAATGAATGCTCAAACTTCAATGAACTGAAGCAACGCTGTAAAGAAGAGCAGGTCGAAACTCGACCATAATGTTGTGAGAGACAGTCATGCAAAAACATTTAAAGTTATTGCAGATTAAAATAATAAGGACCAGGGTTTTTTTCTCTTTTCTTATATCCTAATACAGAAAATATTGAACTGAACTTAAAACTGAAGTTATGAGTTAGCCCTCAATCATTGTTTTAAAAAGGAATTTCCACATTTCCCTACCTCTAGAACAAGTTTAGTGTTGCGTGTCTGAATAAACCATGTTAAAGTCTTGAGATGTCTCCTTATTAATATTTAAGTAGTGGCCTAAAGTTGGAGTTTCATGTTGTTTTACTGTGATAATAGACAAAAACAAAAAAACTGTAATAACTTATGACTTAACTAGTCAGTTGTTCTTTTTTCACAAGCAAATGGTTTTATTTAAATAACAAATAAGCCAGTAAGCACTTTATGCTCTCAGTAACTACTTTTAAGCTAAAACACACACAGAGACATGTTTTTGTGGGTTGTTTATCAATTGGAATTTCGAACTATTTCTATTCATAAAGCTTATAGTTGGGGCTGGATCAGGTAACCCTGAATCCTTTACCAGTACTGTCTTACTTGTAAACACATACACAAACACACACACAACACAGAGTGCTGCAAAAATAATAGCATACACCAATAATCTTTAATATCAACAGCAGCCTTCCAGCTTTTGATCAGCACCATGGACAACGACTGCAGTCAAAATTCGGAGAAAAGAACACATTCATCATAACCTCACACCATTTTCTTCAACTAGGCGACCACAAGCTTGAAACAAATGTAGCCTTGCTAAATAAAGACAACTGTAATATCTATAAGCATAGATCAAAAGCAAGAAGTCAATTAAACGTCCTCACAGACTGACATTTACAACCATTTCCAGAGGACCAGCTTCCACACATAACACACATATGCTAGAATATGAGTAAAGATTTTGAACATATAGGTGGTAACAATGTTTCAATTCTTTACAAAAAGTTAAATACAATGAACAATTATTGACAACACCTTTTCCCCCTAAAACTAGCTAATGTGTTCCCAAAACATTTTCTTTTAAAAATTTACCTGCAAATAATGCTTTTTAAATTATTGCTAATGTTTGGTCTGAATCACCATTAAATTCCAAATATTTACATGCCCTGGAGAGTCCACAAAAGCATGCAAAAATCCTAAATGTGTTGACCTAAAAGGAAGAAAAGGGAAGATTAATTTCAGTTTAACTGGACCTGTGTTTTTTTCCAAACAAAACTTGATCATAAACTGCAGCAATAAACTAAATCCCAGCTGCAAAAACGATCACACAACCTGTTTCCTCTTAAAATGATGTTTTAAACTTTTAATCTTCTAAAAATCTTTTGAAAATCTCCAACTTGGAGCTTTCTACTTTTCTGTTTAGCGTAACTTCGAATTAAATGCAGCAGCACTCATTAAAGAAATATTGTTACATGTTTATCCTTCATGTCAACCTGTATCACAGACAAATCTACAAATCCGCGAGGACATGGCATGTGTACACACAGCAGCCTTGTGTTGACGGCCTCGGGGCGGCTCCCTCTCCCTGAGCTCTTCTGAGAATTTACATCATATATTTCTGCCTTCAAGGGGATCATTTCAGGGTCCGCAGGGTCAGCGCATTTTCTCTTTCAGCGGGTAAATTAAATGTTAATTATTTACATTTTTAAGACTTGACTGACCTTCAGTAGAGTTGAGATTATCCTCTGGACTCCTGATTAAGTGATGCCGTTGTTTAGCTCCAAATACATAAAGCAACTGAGTGTAAAACCTACACTTCTTGTCTCTTTATCAACCCAAAATATAAGAAACCACAGTTTCTTTACTTGTACTCTGATTTTATTCCAAATTATGTACGTTTCTGTGATTCCAAATTACTTTTAAAGTTTCCTTGTTTTGTTTTTGAACTATATAGCCTGTAAAAATAGTTCCAACAATTGGCTATAACAAAAACATGCATGTTTTCATTGAACTTCAAAGAATCAATATAAAAGAAGATACTTTTAAGTGACAGTTTGCACATCTAGAGTTTAAAAAGTTGCTAGTGTACGTTTAGTTTTACTTGTGTGGTGTTTTTTTTTTTTTTTACTTCATTGAAGAATAAAAAGAATGAAATGTTTAAACACTCCAGAGATTAAACACCAGTGAGACATCAAGGACAAACCATGAAATGTTCTGTGTAGAAACAGTCTACACTGGCAAAATCTGATGAATACTCCGATTGTGGAATTGGTGAATTGAGTTTTGGTTTTGACTCTAAAATTTCTTTCTGAATTAAAACAAAAGCTGTGAGCCGCTGAATTACAGTTACACTCGGTGTTTTTGATTAAAGTGTTTATTTGGTGACTCATTTCTTGGAAACCCACAAAACTGGGTCTATCTGTTATCTGTTAATCCATTTGGGCAAGTAGACATGGTCAAGACGGCCTCCTGAGTTCAAACTGAGCAGAAAGAGAAGGGAAAGTGATCGGGAATTTTCCTACATGATCATTTAGAAAAAGAGAAAATATCCAATGAGCGACAACTGTCTGGGTGAAAACGCCTTGTTGATGAAGAGAATGGTTTTACTGCTTTGAGTTTATAGGAAGGTAACAGTAACTCAAATTACCAATAGTGACAACCAAAGTATGCAGACGAGCATTTCTGAACACACAGAAGCAGAGGACCACACCTGGTGCCACTACTGATGCTACAATTCACACAGTCTCGCCAAAACTGGACACTGTTTGTGAAAAATCTCAACTTTTGCCGCAACATTCAGACGGTAGGGTCAGAGTTTTTGTGCTGGTGGTGGCGTAATGGTGTGGGGGTTTAGACAGATATATTAGGATTACTTGAAACTACACCGAAGTGTCCGTTACTAACTATTATAAACAACAACAAAATAAACTATCACAGCTATGCAGATGACACACAAACATATATCACAATGTCACCAGGAGACCGAGGCCCTGTACAGGCTCTTGGTAAATGCATTGAGGAAATCAATGACTGGTTGTGCCACAATTTTCTCCAGCTAAACAAAAACAAAACTGAGGTAATAGTCTTTGGCGCCAAAGAAAAACGATTACAGGTCACCAGAGAACTTCAATCTATACATCTAAAAACCACAAACCAGGCGAGAAATTTGGGTGTAGTGATGGATGCAGACCTAAACTTAGAAAAACACATTAAGACAATAACAAAGTCAGCTTACTATCACCTCAAGAATATTTCAAGGATAAAAGATCTGATGTCTCAACAGGACCTGGAAAAACTAGTCCATGCATTCATCTTTAGTAGGCTTGATTACTGTAACAGCATCTTTACAGGTCTACCTAAAAAATCAGTCAGACAACTACAGCTCATTCAGAACTCTGCTGCTCGAGTCCTCACTAAGACCAAAAAAGTGGACCACATCAGTCCAGCTCTGAGGTCCTTACACTGGCTGCCTGTCCGTCAGAGGATAGACTTTAAAGTTCTGATGCTGGCCTATAAAGCTCTGAATGGTTTAGGACCAAATACATCAATGACCTCCTGACCCAGTATGAACCTTCCAGATCCCTCAGGTCATCTGGATCCGGTCTTTTATCAGTTCCCAGAGTCAGAACCAGACACGGAGAAGCTGCATTCAGCTTTTATGCTCCTTATATCTGGAACAAACTCCCAGAAAGCCTCAGATCAGCTGAAACACTCAGTTTATTTAAATCCAGGTTGAAGACTCACCTGTTCTCAGCTGCATTTGAATAAAGCACCAAATCCACACTTTTAAGCTTAAATTTCAAAACTTACATTTAACTACTGATTTTATCTATTGTTCTGATTTTATCTGTTTTGATTTTATATACTGTTGTTTGTTTGTTAATTAGTTAGTTAGTTTATTTGCTTGTTTTAATCAATTTTAAATCATGCTTTTTATTTGTTCTTGTTTCTAATGTCTCTGTAAAGCACTTTGAATCACCTTGTTGTTGAATTGTGCTATACAAATAAACTTGCCTTGCCTTGCCTATTACTTAAAAGTATAGTCAACCACCTGCAAATCTGTCATGCCGACCTCACCCGTCACTACATGCTCCATCAAACTGTGAGTCTTTCTTTCACATGGTGCATTAGGCCAGAGCTCCAGAAGCTTTTCAACTGTAAGACCACCTGCAGACTGTGAACAATACTCTGGGAAAACTGGGTCTAACTGCTTTCTGCTTTGTCCCATTAGTTAGAGGGTCTCTGTGTTGGGATTGGTGGTGGTACCATTCAGTCTCAGTCTCTGGGGGAGTGGATAATGTTTTAAAATGTTTAAAATTGCGATTATAGGATAACGTCATCACTCACATGTTTTTACAGTGAAAACCAAAGTTAACCAATACTGGGCGTGACCATCCTTTAAAACAGGAGAAGCTTTTGTAGGCTCCTCTGTCCTGGAGAACTTCTACAGTTCTTCATGTGATTGGAGAAAGTGC